AACTCTAATAATTATAAATAATAAAAATAAAATAAACATGAATTAAATTAACATTTACTATAAAAATTAATTTAATATTTTTTTTTATGATGTGTACACCCTAGATAGAGAGAGAACTCTCTAATTATATATATGATTAGTTTTTCTAGTGGTTCAATAACATATAAAACTAGACACTTGGTTAATTATATTATTTGGATATGAAAGAAAACAAAATTTGTAAAACAGAAAAAAAAAGAAATTCCAAAAAATATAGTTAATGAAGTTGTTTTAGGAAAGGAATATAAATAAAGAAAGGAATATAAATAAATGATATTTTAGGAAAAGAGTTTAGAAATGAATGGCATTTTTGATAATTATCTCTAATTTTTGTGGACACAAAACTTAGTATATATATTGCTTTAACTTTTTTTTTTTGCCAGCTACTATACAACTTGATTAACTATATTTTATTGGATATTTTTTTTTCGTTTTACAAATTTGTTTTTTTCATATCCAAATAACAATATTAACCAGAAAAAACTATTTAAACATAAAACTAATTAAACATAAGTAATTTTACTAACCGGTCTAAAATAATACTATTAACCAAATAATATTTTAGTAATCCAAATATCCAAATAATAGTATTAACCAGGTGTCGAGGTTTTATGTGTTACTGAACTACTAGAAAAACTAATTAAAGATAAGAAAGTTTTTCTCTGTCGGGTTTCTACGAAAGATAAATATGTTGACAAAAAAAGAAAGAAAAGAAGAAATAACAAACGTATGGATAAAAAGACTATATTCGTTGTCTTAACATATTCAATGACTCCACATGTTAAAACAAATCATTGACTCCATGCATTACCAAAAAACACGACATAAAAGCATAGCCAAAATTGTTCTGTGAGATCTACTGAAGAATCCATTGCAACTTCGAAGAGACTAACAATAATGTCAGAATCTCCTTCTAAGAAGATGAAACCCACTGAAGATCTGCCTGAATATATGGTTGAGCATATTATCTCGACCTTTCTTCCCATTAAGTCCTTTTTACGAAGGTTTTTTTGGAAAATTACAATAAATTTTATATAAAAATTTTCACTGAAAAGTCAATAAAAAAAAAACATTACAATTTGGTAAAAGAAACGTGAAAATTTTCCGTTTTGTTTGATAAGCACCATAGAACTACTAGAATGTTCATAAATTTATAAAAAAAATATTATGATCGAATACTCGTTTTACACTAAAAC